CCTTCAAGCAGGCCTGTCACGGCATATACACCAGATTGGACCAGTTAGTAAAAGTGAAATTTTGGGGCTTCGGGTGATTATGGAAGAACTGTACGAAACGAAAATAGCTTAGCGCAAAGGCCCTCTGGGGTGTGTCCCCCCGGGCGAAATAAAATCCTTACCTTACCTCTTCTACCTAACCACGCAGCACCAGTTGACGATCCTTCCTCCCCTCGCTGGCCCAATTCGATTCCGTACGCACACTTTCTCACGCAATACGGCTTGGTACACATCATCATGGCGCCCCGAGGCAACCGCAACCGCCCCAAGACCAAGGAGACCCCTGCTGCTGCTGATACGGCTGCGATCGACGCCCTACGCGAGGATATGGGCGAGCGCGCATTCAACCTGCTGCCCAAGAAGGTCCTTGACGTTGAGACCTATACTTTCGCGTACAAGACCGATAAGCCCGATACAAATCCGGAGGCCACCATCTGGGCTCTGATGAACGCTTTGAAGGGCAGCACCACCAAGGGCCAGGAAGCTGTTGACTCTACCAAGGTATGTCCTTTATCTTAGGCCTGTACTAGCCTGGTTGATCACGTACTAACCCGTATTAGACCCCACGCCTGCTGGAGATCCGCAGCAAGAAGGACAAGAAGAAGCTCCAGGAGACCCCGTACGTGATGAACTTCAGCAGCGGCCAGAATTGCGACGCTATGCTGCGTCATCTGTACGGCGACGAACGGGAGGGTACGGACCGTTGCTACAAGTGTACGAAGAACAACGGGGCCCTCAAGGGATGCATTGTCGCTGAGGGGACCCCGGCCTGCGCTAATTGCGACTGGAACCGATCTGGCGCCGCCTGCTCCTTCACGAGTAAGTACGCTGCAATACGTTCTCATTTTCTATACTGATTGGCCACAAGAGCGTGGTACCAAGCGCAAGGTTAGCGACGACGACGACGACGACGATTCCGACAGTGATGATACGGACCCGTTCGAAGACCTTGACCTCAAGACCTGCCAGAAGCTTGTGCAGATCTTCAAGGCAGCTACCAACCGCAAGAAGCACAAGAAAGGCACCTCTTCGAAGTCGGCTTAAGGTATTTGACCCAATACGTAAATGTACGAGCCTCTACTAACTCTTTTTTTTTTTTTTACCCGTAGTCCGCCTAGTCACTTCGCTCTGAGTTGAATTTTTTTTTTTTTTTGATTTACGAGGAAACGCAGAATACATTCGCGTATATTAGCGCACGAGGACGTACGGTGAACTATGATACCCTTTTCTTAGCTAGAGTCTGAAATCAAGTTTTCTTTGATCATGCTTTGTGTTTCACTTATGACATTTTGTTCAAAATCTTGTGGGTCTGACCAAGTGAGGCTAAACATATTATGCATGAGGCAATTTGGCGCCATACGATCACAAACGTAACAAACCCCCTTTTTCAAAATTAAATCGCGCAATCTCAACTCAGACTTCCTCTCTTTCCCTACGCCTACACTTGACTACGTACGGCAACATACGGTTCAAGATGCCTAGGGGTCGCCCTTCAATTGATATATCCCCATTTCGCCTTCAGATTCAACAATGGAAAAACGACGACGGTCTCACGCTCAAACAAATCGTACAGCGCCTTAATAACGAATTCCACATCGAAGTTCAACGTACGACTGTATATCGCAACCTGAAGATCTGGAATGCTTCCATGAGGCAGTATACCGAAGACTCTGAACAACTACGTGAGCGTATTAAAGACCTATTCTTTGATAAGGTCTTGAACGATCACTTTATGCTTCTGCAGCTTCACTCTGAGGGCTTTCTGATCTCAAAGACTGGCCTCTCACGGATACGGCGAGACCTAGGCCTTTGGCGGCGTCAAACCCCTGAGATGACTAGCGAGAGACTTCACGAATTGCGCCGTTTCTTTGAAGACGAGTCCGAATTACACACTAAGCTTGAGACCTACGGGCGCACACTACTCTACGTATATGTCCGTCGAAATCATCATATCTTGAGCCGCCGAGCCCTGTACTCATGCTTTCGCGACTTTTCCCCTACTTGTGTTACCGAACGGTGGAATACGATGCGATATCGCCGAACTGGATGGACTTCTCCAGGCCCCGACTTTATTTGGTCCCTTGATGCGTACGATAAATTGAAGGCCTGGGGCTTTGAGATCTATGCCTCCATTGACGCTTACTCACGGTTTATTACGTGGTTCTACGTGGGCATATCCTCTAGTACGTCACGAAGCGTTGTTGCACAGTATCTCGATGTTCTCTCGCAGCGGAAAACCATGCCAAATATCATCCGTTCCGACCGCGGCCAAGAGACAATCCTTATGGCTGGAGCACATTATTACCTTTCGAAGACCCGCGTACGCGCACGGGAAGGTATCCCACAAGATGTGCGCTTTCGAGACTGCTGGATCTATGGCAAAAGCACGCATAACGAAAAGATTGAGAGCTGGTGGCTTCGATTGAGTAGGGGTAGGGCTAAATTCTGGCGGGTATGTAGTATTATCACTCCGTTCGACCCTATGCTAACCTGAATCTAGGAGTATTTTGGTGAAATTACCGCACTTGGCCATTTCTCGAACGACTCCCTACCCGACCGTATTGCAATGCTCTATCTCTTCATGCCGATCCTGCGGGCTGAGTTTGCCGACTTCGTACTTACGTGGAATTCGCACTACATTCGCAAACAACGCAATAGGCCGCATGTGGTTCCTGGGCAGCCATGGACCCTCTACTTTCAGCCTACCGCACGGCAGGTTGAGAGCTTTGCAGAGGTTATCCCTCAAGATCGATTACAAACGCTCCAAGATATCTTCGACGGGGACCGTATTGATCTTGATGCCTACTTGCCAGAAGATACAATAGCTATCTGTGATCGCATTCTTAGAGGCCAGGAAGATCTGCCAAGAGATCCGCCACAGCAACCTAAGCTTTCAGCGTATCTATTCCTACGAGATCGTTTACGGCAGTACATTAGGAGTAAGCAGCAGCCAGAGCTGGCATTATTGGAGACGCCTACGGGTGGCCTAGACCGCGTACGTGATCATTTGGCCACTCACGATATCGATACTGCTTCGCTTTTGGAACGCATTGAGGAGGAAGAGATTGACTGGGGTGAGGGAGACCAACTATACGACTAGATGCATAACCAATTGTAGCAATTGAACTGAAACTAATCCCTATTCTTATTCTTTCCCCTACCAATCCGGACAGGAAGCCTCTTCTGAGGTGAGAGAGCCTGGGCCTCCGAGTGTTCATCGATATCACTCGCGAATGGATCGTCAAGGACGGCCTCAAAAGTAGCCGAATCCGCGTCATCTTCACCCGAAAGCTCAACCTGAATTTCAGCCTGAATATCATCCTTGCCCTCCAACTCCAAGGGGGTCTCAGCTTCCTCTTTTACCGGTATACGAGATAGCTTTCGTGGCTTTGATTCCTTCTTAATTGGGGATACGCGCTCTGACTTTACCGTACGTGAGGCTTTGCGTTTGCTAGAGCTCCTCGCCGAGGCTTCTGACTCTAGATCAGAGGGTATGCGATCAATCGCTCGCTTGTGACCACGTACGGCTCTTGACGGCATTGGTGACTCAATATCAGGCCGAGGCTTTACATTGAAGTACCAAAAGGTCAAATGGACCGTATCGCGCTTTGGGGCAAGCGAGATATTGCCCACACGAAAGAGGTCCGCAAACGAGGTCGTTTCGTACGCGGCATCAGAGAACTCAACGGGTCCAAAGGTAGCAGTTTGAGTCACTACGGAATGAACGACCTTCCATTCCTTAACTGCAAGCCTCTTGTCACACTGCTTGACAATGAACTCTATCATTGCGGCATGAGAAGGGAACTTTGCCCCGAGAACGATCTCAACATTTCCTGTACGCTTTCCAACGAGGTTTGCCGTCTTGTCGTATACTGGGGTTTCAACACCGTCAAGGACATTGTCATAATACCCATCGCACGACCAAAACGAAGCGTGCAATTCGATGACAATCTTAGCCGTATGGCTTGTAGCTGCGATGCTCCTTGACCGGCTTTCAATAGCTAGGTTCGTAGCGTTCTGATAGGTATCAGGTCTCGGTCGGGATCGTTGGGAAGGAATCGTCATCGCATTGCCTCGTTGGACTGTTGATTGGGAAGTAGGTGAATCGACTGTGAGGTCGATAGAAATAGGGGTAATAGGGCCAAATGATGATGAAGCCGTAGGGAGCCGTTGAGCGCAATGCGGGCAATAAAGGGCCCCAGGGAACTTCGTACGTATATCCACATGACGGCTGCGGTCTTTGGGACAATACTCTGTCGAAGTGGATGAAGGTGTATCCATTGTGTAAGAGAAGGATGATGAATGAACTTCGTTCCCAAATGGCCGCGTTTGTGGCCGAACGTAATATTTGCCTCAAGCAACCCTAACTAAATTAGGGTCACGCAATGGGCTCTCCCTGTTGAGGGATATTTTATCTTTACAGTGATATGCGTCCCCTATATGTGATTAAACAGAAGGATAATGGCACATTGGGGTTGCCCTAGTAAGAAAAAAATGAAAAGTTGAATTTTGGAACTCTGCCCCTTGTGGCCTTCCGTAACCGGTGCAGTTCGTCCATCCTTGCAACGGCCGATTACTCACTTACCCCGACCCCACCTGAGCGACGATCAAGGTCGCATGCATGATCGGAGCGAAGCAGATCTCACGGATCAAGCGGATCTGTCACCCAATCCCGACACAGCTACGCGGGCATGACCACAGGCACCGTGGCTTCCTCTTTCCAGCGATCATGGTTGACTATGTGCTTAGAACACTGTACTGTATGATACAGTACATACTGTAGAAGAAGGGGAAGAAGAAAGAAAAGAAGGAGAAGGACTAGTGGAGGATGGAGATGGAGAAGCCGTGGAGCTGAACACGACGCCAGCTGCCACGATGCAAGTTCAGAGCGATGAGCCGAATGATGGGCTCGATCTAAGCCTTTCCATCCCCTACCTAAGCTCTCTAGACGCTCTTGTCACATGCACCCAGGTGCCTGGCCAGGCGAACTGGTTGGAGCAGACACGGCCCTGGCCGCACCCGCTCCTTCTGCCAGACTGACTGTCGCCCCCCCCCTTCTCCCCGTGTCTCCATTTCGGACATTTTCTCCCACTCTCAGACACCCTCTCTCAGACACCCCCTCTAGACACCCCCTCTCAGACATCCCCTTCCGTTCCGCCATCCCAAACCCTCTTGCAGCATGTGTCCTCCTAGCTAACCCACCCAAAGTTACTACCTCCCCCCCCCCTAAAGTACGTCCACGGCGTAGGAGGCCTGCTCAGGATGCAGGCATCGTACAGACAACCCCACAGGCTTGGTCCTGTCAGAAGTGCGTGCCTTGTGCCCCGCCAAACCTCTGCTCCAGTATCTGATCAGCAGTATCTGATCAGCCTCGGAACCGGCGTCGAGGCCGCAAGTCGCGGACACGGGTCAGACAAGCGGCCGGGCTTCTTCAAGAGGCATTTGCTATACCGTCTGATCCGGGCATACATGTCGCTTCTGCAGGGCAAGAAAACTATGGACGACTTTTGACAGGGCCACCAAGACGTCCCTTCTCTTCGACAGGTGCATCCGCCTCGACGTCGTCATAGACCACGTAGCCCCGCTGGACGACGCGGGGTCGGTGCCGCGGCTAAAACGCTCCGTCTATCAGGACCGCCCTCTTCAGGACGCCATCTGCGCACTGGCGAAACGCATCGTCCGCGGCCTGTTCTACTTTAAGCTGGACGCCGTTCCGAGCCGGCGTGGTCCGCAGTTCCGAGGGTCGGGCTCCATCCGCTGCCTTTGTCCATGTGCTGACGAGGCTCTGTCCGCTCTAGTGCAGAAGCTTCTCCAGTCGTCGGCCGCGTTCAGGGTGAAAGGCTCCAGGGTATTGGGTAAGCTGTCGGACAAGTCCTTCTGGAGCTCCTGCGGCAACTTTGAGAAGAAGATCAAGTTTGCGAGTGGTCATCCCACCATCTCCATCACCCTGCAGCAGCAGGGGTCTCCGGAGCACCCGATCAGCGGTTCTCCGTTTCGTCTGTCGGAGGTGGTGGAAGCGCAGCAGCTGAAGGCACACTTTGGCCGGTCGGACCATCGAGAAGGCTGAGGTGGGGAGTGACGCGCATGCAAATACCGTCCCAGACACTAGACGACACTCCGCACGACACTACACCACTTGACCACCCTGCACCACCCTGCACCACACTACCGCATACGCACCTGGAGATTTGGCTATGAATAGTGGGTTCCGTGTGCGGCGTCTTTCTTCACCCGCTTGCCATCCTCATCGTAGCTCTCCGAAGCTGCGAGACTAGCGCGTCTCATTGTTTCATGCCATTGTGGACTCTCAAAATCCTTTGAACGATGTTTGAGATGGCACGACGGAACACATGTTTGTGCCGTCGCTCGCCTTGTCCGTGGCAGAGGCGGCGATTAGGCGATTGCAACGGACGATCGCGGCGCGATCTCGCGAAAAGCTTGTCACAAACAACTTGTCCCACTAGTGTTGATCCACCCGCGAAAAGGTTACCCACTGCCTACTTGTCTGGAGCGGGGTGCATGTGGATGAAGGGGTGTGTGCCGTTTGGTTTGTCGTTTGGTCATCGTCCGTCGTCGTGGAGGAAGACGGCACGAAGGCGAGGCTTAACTGACGACCCTACCCTACACCACAGGCCTAAGAAAGCATCCGCCACCTAAAGATCGGCTTGATATTGACGCTCGAATGATTTCAGCTGGAAGATGGCTCACTTAGTTGATTGTTCTACAGTAGATAACTTATAGTAGCGTGTTTATAGTCTTTTTAATTTTAATAATTTATTTTAATTTTTTACTTTATTTTCTGCTTTAGTTTTTTTCCTTTTCCTTTTCCTTTTTGTGTTGCCATTTGTGTGGAGTTTTCGCGACAATGTATCCACACAGTGACTGCATCTGTTAGATTGGATCATGTGCAGAGCATTGGATCGGGTGGTCATGTGATCACCTCCAGCGTGCACCCGATCAGCCGCCGAGCATTTGCCGGGCGCAGCCTGAATAGGAAGACGGTCAGAGCAGCCTATTGGCTAGGCGCCTCAGGCCCCCACTTTTAGTGGTAACTGAGGACCTTATTTTAGTCACGGCCGGGAGACCCGGCCACATACACACACAATACACACGATCAAGTTCATCTGAGTGCCACGCTAGCTTTCCGACAGCATCCTGCGGTGCTACAGTACAACATTGTTGATCCATCCGATGCTTTGTGATATGCGTGCGGGGTTTCCGCATGTGGGGGCGCACGCTCGGGAGTTTGCACCTTGCTGTGTGTGTGTGTGTATGTGTGTGTGTGTGTATGTGTGTGTGTGTGTATGTGTGTGTGTGTGTATGTGTGTGTGTGTGTATGTGTGTGTGTGTGTATGTGTGTGTGTGTGTATGTGTGTGTGTGTGTATGTGTGTGTGTGTGTATGTGTGTGTGTGTGTATGTGTGTGTGTGTGTATGTGTGTTTCCAACAAGAGAGAGTCTCCTTGTCAGGTCCGTGACGATTGTGAGTCACAAAGAACTGCCCCGTGAGCGGATCAGAATGTCAGGAGCGGGTAAGGTCTCGTGTGTGTGGGGGGTGTGGGGGGTAGGGGTAGGGGTATAGGGGTATGAATGAATGAATGAAGTTTATTCCGCCCGGGAGGACTAACCTCATAGGGCCAGGTGCGCTAGACTATTTACAGTTCTAAGTTTATTGTTCGCGTCTCTCAGAAGCCCCACAATCTTCCTCGTCCGCTGATCGGTCTCGCCTCGCTTGACTCTGTGTGATAAGCCTGCTTGAAGGCCAATTTCTCCAAGTGATGTATGTATGTGTGTGTGTGGGTATGTATGTGAGTGTGTACGTGAGTGTGTATGTGTGTGTGTGCGTGTGTGTGGAAAGTTTGTTCTCCGGCGACACACACAGCATTCATCCATGACTCCCAACGTGTCCTCGTCATTCTACCCGAGTTTATTTGTCCATACTTTTGACCTCCTCACCTGGTGTTTCTATCCCGTCCCCCTCTCATCGCGACGACCACACCACAAGTCATCTGGCCGGGCCTGAGCGATATCCGTAGCACTAAACGAGACTCGCACATTGTCTGACTAGTTGCAAGGTCAGCCGTGATGAGACCAATACACCAAGACGCCACCGGTCGGGTTTCAGTAGTCTGCAAAGCGTTCTGTCGGAAGGTGGCAACTTAAGGAACTATTCGCAAGACGAGTCGTCGGCTACTTTGCTCGTCTGCTTGTTCGTTCGCTCACCTGCGTACTGTATGTATTCACAATGAGCGAGCTGGCATATAACTGTTCCACGATCGTCTCGACCGATTGCCGTCGGGCTCAGTGTTCTTGTCAATGCCGCTGTAGCGTTCTAATCTACAGACCTGGCAACCATGGACCCGATGGGTGGTCACTGCAACAATGGACCCCTGGCAAATACCGGGTTCCTGTCTTACCCAACTTACCCGCCGCCCCCGCCGCCCCCGCCATTTGACTACATGTCGCCCTGCCACCGTACCCCGGATTTCTGGGCTGGCTATCCATACGGCTGGGCAAGGTCTCCATGGTCTCCCAGCAGCAACCCTTACCCCGATCCAGGTGGGCCCCGCCACCAGCCTCCGGTGCGCGGAGATCAGGTCGCCCCGTGTCAGATTCCAGCGCCTCCTCCATCCGACGTGGGCAGCGTCGTGCTGGCAGCGCGGTTGAAGGAGGTCTCCGCAGATACATGGAGAATATGAGAAGCGTTACAAGCCCGTCACGGTGGATGCTTTGAGGATGCGGCTGAGTCGGCTGAAGAACAAGCACTCGTGGCTCAGACAAGCATTTCTATCGAAAGCGTGTCCGAAGGGTAGAAGGCAAAGCCAGAGAAAAGCAGAGCCGGAAGAAAGTAAGCAGACCCACCGCGGGTCTCCGGAGGGAGGTCTCGCGTAACTGTCAAAGCACCATGGTTCTTTGCTGGTGCACCCTGCACAGCTGCAACCTGACCAGCCTGGGCTCAACATCAATGCGTGTTCTGGTGAAGGCGATTATCTTGTCTTAGAATTCGCTCCAGTGTCTTTCGCCTCTTTCGTCGCTCGAGAGACAACATGATGTCATTCTTTGCTTCGATGAGAGGTTCGAACAATTGGCGACATAGATCTATGTTGAGCTCCGTTTTTTGACGGAATCAATGGCTATTCCGATCCATTGGTGGCTGGGATGTGGATGTCTTCTTGTCAATAGCTTTCGCTGGTTAGCGCTAGTTTTTCTTCTTCTTCAATCAATACAACAAGCTCATTTCAACACTCTATTGTCCACCGAACTGGATCTGAAAAAAGTCCACAGCAAACGATAATCTGAGTTACATATGTATGCAAACTAGCGATCAGTATGTACCATCTCGACACCTCATGTCTTCCTAGATACGTCTTAGCGCAGAGCTTTCACCAAGAACACGCACCGCTCAGGGGCGCAAACCAGCAAGACCAGTGCCTTGGCTGAGCTACTAGGATGTGTCCATACAAACGTAAAGCGGGAAGAGCGTCATGGACGGGGCTGCGTGCGACTTCGACCACACTTCATGCGCCGCATGGCACGAGATAGCATCGCAAGCAATCCGTTTCTAGCACCTACTCGGCCTGCGTTGCCGGCACCGCAGATGTTCCGAACCTGGATGCGTTTGTTCTTCCTCCCGTCCCTTTGTCGACACCTTCAAACGCTCAGATCAAGCACCCTTGTCCCTCGTGTCTGGGGCGAGTCGCCACCAAGGTGGACCTCAGTCGGCATTTACAGGCCCAGGGAGTACTTCTATACAAGGCCCGAAGAACCATACGAAACATCAGTAGCAGCGACGGCTGACGTTCGGGTCTGAACAGGCTCGCTACGCATACATTATGGACCCCAAGATCTTTTAGATGACTCTCAAGACGATGCGACGGAACGCGAACTGCACCATCGTACAGCACGTATCCGGGGCAGCCACGCGAAAAGCTTGTTACAAACGAACTTGTCCCATGTTGATCCACTGCCGGTACGTCCCTCTTCTTCCCCACGTTTCCCTTTCATGTTCTCGACAAGGTGGGGAACGACGGACAACGGACGACGAACACACACTAAGCGACACACCAAGCGAACAGACATACACACACACACACACACACACACACACATACACACTAGGGTTCCGTTTTTGACGGTCAAAAACGGTATTTAACCGTCAAATACCTAAAGGGGGTTTTTTGCAGTAATTTACGTCAAAAACCCCTCCCAATTTAGGCTTAGCGCTTAGAATTAGTTGGTACACGGAATAGGCTTAGTGCCTCAAATCACCAATGCAGCGCACAAATCGTCACCAAATTCCCTTCTTCGGGGTTGAAAAGTAAAGGACAATGTAACTTGTCACGGGCCGGATGAGATCAACTCAAGAGGTAATGCCACTGTATTGCGAGAATACTACGATGGAGAGGAAAGAGAGAAAGCGGGCAGGCGCGTAGACGCGTAGACGCGTTGATAGTCCCTGTGGCCTGCCCCGTGCGCCCTAGTTTCATATCGACCCCACCCTGGGTCCAGCACTCCGGATGTTCCCGTCACATAACTGTCAGAATGAGCAACAAAGGCTGTCGCCCTATGACCCATGGTGTTTATGAACACTTTGTAAGGAGGCTCAAGTCGGTCAAAGATAATCCAGCGGAACCGATAGTTATCAAAAACTGGGAGACAGTTGATGTTGCTCGGCTGATAAACACTGATAAAGATAGAAAACGCCTTCCAAGACTTCTATTTTTGTCGATGGCTGGGTTTGGGAAGAGACTGATTTGGGAAATAGTGGAGATAATATGGACGTCGGCCAATGAGAGGTTTTCGACATGTAAATTACCTCGAGGTTTCTGACGTCAAAAACCGTGGTGTGTTATGAACGTGTGTGTTATGAACGTGTGTTACGCACACGTTCATAGAACACACACGTACACACACGACACACACGTTCATATAACTTCAACACACATAACACACACGTTCATATATACACACACGTAACACACGTTCATACACGTTCAACACACGTTCAACACACACGTTCATATAACTTCAACACACACGTTCAGCACACACGTACACACACGTTCATAACACACACGTACACACTCGGAACATTCATGCGGTGCGACCAAATACCTTAATCACGAAGCTAAGCGACACAGATTCAAACGTCTCAAAGCTAAATTAGGTCATTGAATGCAGACGTACGGAACAAATGAGGGGGTGTGTGCGCTCAGGAGTGTATGCACCTTACCCTTTTCAACAAAAAAGAGTCTCCTTGTTAGGTTCGTGACTGTGAGTCACAAAGAACTGCCCCGCAAGGGTCTTGCCAGACAGGAACCACAGACGTGTCTCCCTCTTTACGAGTCATGCCGCGGTGGAAATGCGGTACGTCGGGCACTGCTGTTGCGTGCTAGGCTAGTGTAGACCTTGGATGAAGAAAGGGTAAACGACCGGCCTCATACAATCTACGCACCGTTCACCGCCGTCGACCAAGACTGCTTGTTGTGCATTAGAACTAGACACTAGGCATAAGACACCAGGCATGAAACTCTGGGCACAGAATGCCACAGAGTGCTGAGAGCACCGCATATGAGGATCGCCGTTGCAACGAGATACACACTTGGCTGACCGTCGTCTCTGGTTCTTTCGATCAGCCTTGGTAGCATTCCTGGCAACTCCTAGTATTCCCCATGCGAAGTCTGCCGCTTGACCTCACTGTCCAAAGCTGGACTGGTCTGAACCGATCTGCCAGTTTCTGTTCGGTGGTGGAGATCAAAACATGACGCCCAGGAGGGTGGCGACTAAGGCAACGAAAACGAACCCAAGCCCAGAAGTGATCGGCCTCCTACAGATCTCCAAGTCGCTTGTCAACTGCGAACAGGAAAAGCCCGTCGCCGTCTTCGACACCGGGAGTGCGACTAGCGTGTGTGTCCGGACAAGCACGCATTGTGGACACTCGGAATCCTTTGAACAATCGTTGAGATGGCGCGACGGAACACAAGTTGTGCCGTTGCACGCCTCGCCCGTACTGGAACAGAAGCGGCGATTACAACGGCCGATCACGGCGCAACCTCGCGGAAAGCTTGTCACAAACGACTTGTTCCACTATTGTTGATCCACTCAAACGCGACAAAATGTAGCTTCCTGAGAGCCCCCCAAAAAGGTGCCTTCTTGTGTAGTGCGGGGTGTATGTGAATGAAGAGTTCGGTTTAGACTTTTGGCATGTTTCGAGCTTTGTGGTGTGTGTTGTTTGGTTTGATGTTTTTTAGAGTATGTCGTTTGGTGTATGTTATTTAACGTGTGTCGTTTGACGTGTGTCGTTTAACGTGTGTCGTTTGACGTGTATTCGTCGTCGTCCATCGTCCGTCGTTCCCCACCTTGTCGAAAATGTACGGACACAAGACAAGAAATGTTCGCCATGACACTCGCGTAACAAAAGCACACTGATACACGTCCGGGCCCACCGCATAAACCTGACAGAGTTCACTGTCGTGGGGGTCGACAACGTGAGGGCAAAGGTGCTCTGCCATCTGCGCAACGCAGACAGACTAGCTCGGGCTAAGATGCGGAAAGTTCAACAGCGTCAGACATTGTGGAGGAGTCGGAGACACTAGGGGCATTTCGCAGTAGGATCGTCCAGGATAAACCAAGAAGAACAAGGGGAGAGAGCAAAAGAACGAAACCCGGGACTGGAAGGAAGAGAGGTGGGGTGTGTGAAGTGATGCTAGCGCTGAGAGCAGTGACTCTCCTGCCAGAAGCCGGACGAGATGGAGATGACAGACAGAGAAACGTGGGTAATCGCACCCCGTTCATACACACGCTCAACGACGAAGAACATGTGCAGAAACATAGGACGATGAAGGTGTAGGGCATTGCGGGGCCCTGCAAGGCATGACGAGACGCGACAAGACATTTTCAGACATTTGAAGATACGACACAGAGACACTCGACGACACACGGAGACACACAGAAACACGGAGACACTCGAAGACACACGGAGACACGACAAGACGCTACAAGACACCACAAGACAACACAAGACGCTACAAGGTACAATGGACAGACTGCAGGCAGCCAGACACCGACACTGAACTCGCGTACATATGCGTCATTGTACACCACGGTACTGCAAACTATCAGACGTCGCCCGGATCCGAACTTTGTCTTTCTCGTCTCACGCGAGAACGAGGTAAGTTTTGGGAAGGTAGCTCAACCGTTTCCCAAGAAGGTCGCGTTCCACCTAGTTCATTCTTCTCCTGTAGGCCTTACATATGTGGCTGCGACATGTTCGACCGACACATATCACAGCTTGCAGAAGTGTAACGCAAACGCAACGCAGAGTTCGAACGGGCGACATCAGTAAGGAACGAAGAGGTCGAGTCTTGTGTTTGAGTTTGCGTCTGCACGGCAGAGGATGAGCTTGCCGCGTTCAAGTCCGGTATTTTGGCTTTGCGACGTTTGACTCTGCAACGCTCGACTTCACGACAGGTGTGATTCGGAGTACACTCTACTATGCTCACGGGTATAAAGAGCGAAGAAGCTCGCCTCCTTGAGCTGCATCAAGTTCTGGCAGACACATTCACATACACATCACCTTGCTGATTGAAGATGCGACTGGACTTTGATCGCACGCTCACTTCATTGGGATCTGATCCGGCTGTCTTGCTGGTACAGTACTGCTTTTCTTTTTCTTTCTTTTGAGCCTGGAGACGTTCGC